GTGGTTGTGGAGGCGTCTGTGGTTGAGTCGTCTGATTTAGTGGATTTGGTTGATTCCCATTATTATTGTTATTGTTTTTCTCCCGATTTAACGTATCTAAAAACTTAACATCAACTATACAATCTCTTAAAAAGAGCTCGAGTGCATCCAATCGTTGTTGTAAATGTTGAACCGCAGGATCTTGTGACTGTGGAATTAAATTGCTTTCCGGTGACGCGAGTTTCGCATTTCCGGCTAGTGGTATCACGGGAAACGTATTACGGAAATGGGATTTTGCTTTTTTCGAGAATATACAACAGCATGTTTGTGCGCAACCCCAGGGCCTTTGTGTGTCGTGCCCTTTTTTTTAAATTGTTAAATGACGGTATGTACATGTGTATAAAGATGATAAAAACTTACCGAAAAATAGTGTATATACCCCAGCGGCAAGACCCCATGCACCACCGAATAAAGCAAACGAACTTAATACCTAAAGAATGACTAATAAATTAATTTTATTTTGTTACTTGATCATAATGATCATAAATATTGCTGTTTACCGTTTTTGACCTATAAAAGAAGAACGAAGCTAATCATTTAATCCTGTTAACGAGCTAGATTATGACAATAATCAATAATTAAGATCGTTTTATCTTCACCTTTGCTCAGTCTCGACCGTGACTAACAAGCTTTTAACTCGAACCTGCATAGCAGCAAAGATAAGTGAATTATCGATACCAAAAGTTTTGGATAACGAGCCGGTTACTATAAAAATAATACAATAAAAAATAACATAATTTATTTCTATTTTATATTTTTAATTTTAATTAAAAATATCCTGTGATTCCTTACCAACATCAGCATTAATGTAAGGTTCACTACTATAATGTGGCGGTATTCCGAAATTTGTCCATGGGCTTGGCTGGATAATTTCCTTAATTGATCTTGTATATGCAAGGTTTGCATTCTGTTAAGTAAAAAAGAATTTTTAAAATTAAATCCAACTACTTTTCAATTAGTAAAGAGCATAAAGATACGTAGACATGAGTTTTCTTACGACATCATACTATTATATAAAATAAAAAAGTTTAAAAAAATTTTAGTATTTTTTATTATCGTATAAAACAGGCAGGATATAAAGCTTACACCAATTATAAAAGAATTCATTCCATAAATTGACGATTGATAATTTGAACCGGAATTTGCTAAGGTCTCTGAATTTATCCCCTCTGAATTAAATAAATATTATTTAATGTATTGCATTTATGTGTGCAGAAAATACTAAACTTAAAGTTTACCCGCGTCATTAGCCATAATAACCAAAGAATCCGGATTAGAAGCATTAAATTTAGGGTCTTTGATTACAAAAATAAAATTCAAGCCCTCAATCATCTTTGTTGTGGTTGATGGTGGTGACATCTTGAAACTACCATCATTTGTAAACTTCGCGTAGTAGTAACCGCTGTTATAATCGTATGTGATTGCGTTCGTACAATTGGAACTTGTGGAATCTTTACAATAAAAGTTTATGTTTTTAATTCACGAGGATATTGACAAAGGCACTATTTAAATAATTACCACTAAAATATGCAGAACAGGTAAGCTTGAAGTCATAGCTCATGAGAAATAAGAAATCTAACATTTATTTCAGTAAAATTCAAAAGAAGAATTCTATAAGAATAGCAAATTAGATTAAAATACAGAAAATGAGCGTAAAAAACCTGGAGCTGGCAAAAAATCCACAAGCGAAATCGTTTGCTTGATTACTGGGTTATCATTTGCTATATCAACTGCAAGTATAGCTAAATACCCTGATAACGTCGCCATTATCAATATCATTATACATGCGCGAAGGAGAATCAAATGAATTGGTTCACTTCTTCGATATCTTCGAAAAATTTCGTCGAGATACATTTTTATTAATTGCTATACCCTTCTTTAACTTCCTCATATTAAAAATCACAGTCACTTATATATTTTTCCGTAATTGATACAAGAAAAATCCATTATCGTTTTGTGTTCTTTTTTAATAGTTACAGTCAAACTGTATAACGATAACGAGCCAACATGTACATGTACATTTAATAAATTCATTTGATTGACACGCAACATCAATTACATGTACATGTAATTTTGTGTGGCTTCGTGTAAATAATTAATAACGATAAACGGAAATTAATTTCCTGCTAACAAAAAAGGATAAACGATAATGAGAGCTAATAGATTATCATCAATCGTTGAAACTTGAAACTTTAATGATAGCGACAATTTTTTTAATGAAACAATTATTGGAGCATTCGTTTAAACATAATATTTAATTTTTGACATTGAATCAAGCAACTTATTTTTTTTAGCCTTTAACAAGCAGCTTGTATACTAAATGAAAGAATTAAGAGTTGCATAAGATGGATGAATAAATTATTCATAGTTGAACGTGATTGTAAAAGTTGAGGTTAACTTATGAGAGTGACCATTCTTGTAGTGATAGTCTTAATAAAATTTACTAAAAAATTTTATAATGTAATTGCATTCTCTGCATCACATATGAGAAATTTGAACTTTAACTTCATTGTTTGACTTATTGTATCAAATCGCTTTTTTTTGAACAAAAATATCCTTCCTACATGACATGGAAGTTTGTGTTTGATTTCCTGCAGAACTTTCCGGAAATCACTACCAAATTTATTAAACAAAGTTTGTCAGTGGTTCATTTTTAGAACAGTTATACAAAGCTCGTATTAAATATTTACTTTTTTTATTCGAATAAAGTTCATGGCGACACAATTTTTCGTTCTTCTAGTGGCACACATTAGTCAGTACGAATTATGATTAGTAATTTTGATTGAACACGTAATAAATGTACACAGTTTCATTTAAATGAGCTTTTTGTTTCGTGGATTTTGTCAAATTGATTGGTGCATAAAAAAATCGGATTTTTATCAGGCTCAGGCCACGTATTAAAACCACGCCATGATATCTTATGATTCCCGGATCAAATCAATGAAAATAGCACCATTCGAATAGAGGAATCGAATGTTATATTTTCATCCGATATACTGTAGTTCAGAAAATTATGAGATCTAAAGTTTTTAATTTTTTATACAAATTTAAACTAAATCTATTGCATTTACTAAATTCTCCTAGTTTTGCTAGTTTGTAAATTTAATGATAGCGATTTTCTCAAAAATGATTTGTTAAATGTTGAAATGTCTTTTTTAAAGTTGTTAAATTAGAATTTATTTTTCTAATTTAAAATTGTTATCCTTGGACAGTTTGAACAACTTGTCCAATTTTTTTTTAAAAAAATAATTAGTAATTTATTAAGTAATACTTGAACAACTCTTATTAGAGATAAATATTTAATTTATTAAAGAACATTTTAATAAAAATATAAATATTAGTTAATCGTAACTTTGAAAATATATGACTAAATTTTTATTGATTTAGTTCAGTAATTTAAAAGATATTGTTATGGTAGCTATTGTTTTCTCAAAAAAGCTACTATTTTTCGCATGATTTTTGAAAATCAAAGAGAGATTATAGCTTATTTTTGGAATTATTTATTAAGTTTGCTTACTCTTTTTATATCTGATTTTAACTGAAAAATGAAAATAGCTTCTTTTTGAAGTTTATTTTCAGAAAATATGAAATTAATTTTATAATTTTATAAAATTAAAATTTGAAACTGAATATATTTATAATATTAAAATTCGAATTATATTTAAAATATTAAAAATATATCCAGTATCAAACTTATATGTAAAACAATTTTTATTGTATAATAATTTATTATTATATTATTATTATTTTTATTTTATATTTATTATATTTTTTGTATATTTATATATTTAATAATTTTTGCTAAAGCTTTATTTAATTAAATCAATTTATAATCTGAATTAAATCTGATATATTATCTTAATTCAGATTTTTTTTAATTTAAAAAAATCAGTTATTTTCTATTTAAATCATAGTTAAAATAATATAATCAATCAGTTTAGATTAAGCTTATAAGATTGTTTATTTATTTAAATAATAAAATACAAACTAATTAATTTTAATTTATAAATAGTTTATGATTTTATTATTTGAATATTAAACAAGTTTGAAGTTAAAAGTATAAAATAGAATAATATATTTATATAAGTTAAAAAATATAAATCATAAATAATTTAATTACATTAAATTATATTTGAATAATATTATACTTAATTCAAAAATTAATAATAATAATTAATAATATAAATAATAATAAATAAAAATAATAAGAAATATAATTCTCATTATTAACTGATATCTGATAATTTTTCAAAAATTATATATAATTTTTCAAGTACAATAAGTATCATAAATACTAATTATTAATACATTTTATAAGCTAATTGATAATCTATAATTATTAAATTTTTATGTTAAAAAAATATCTTTTCTCTTATATAAATTTTATAAAATTATTTTTTTACAGATCTATCCTAAAGATTCAAACTCAGACTTATAATTACTATAAAATATATTAATTATATTAAAGATATACTAGTTAATATATTTAAAAAATAGAATAAAATAAAAGATTTAAATGATAAATCAAAATTGAATCAGAAGTGAATTATAACTTTAAAATAAAATAAAAAATAAAAGAGCATACAAAAAAAGAAAAAATATAACTTTTTTCAAAATATAATATGAAATAAAAGCTTATAATATTGATATTAATATAAATACTATTTGATAATATCTGTATAAATTTAGAGCTAAATATATAAATCAGTATTTTAATCTTCATATTCTAATAAATATATAAAAAATAATTATAATAGATAAATAAATATAAAAACTTTAACTAGAATTAATTTTTTTCAGATAAAAATATTTTTTATCTAAATTATTAAAAAAAAAGATATAAATATTTTTCAAAAAAATATTTATTTCATAAAGTATTTATTAAAGATTCATAAATAAAAATATTTTTTAACTTTGAATTTTAGTAATTTAATTTAATTTTAAAGAAATCTAAATATTAATTTTATAATCATATTATATAAAAAGAATCTTTTATTTTTAGTTAAGATATTTTTTAATAAGAATTATATAAATTAAATTTTATAGAAGAATAATAATACTAAATATTATTTAAAACTAATAAAAAAATAAAAAAATAATATAAAAATTCCTTAATATTATTTAATTAAAATTCAATTAAGAATATTTATAAGATTATAAAAATAAATATTATAAAAAAATTAGAATATTCAAGAATTTAAAAAGTAAATTAATTAAAAAATAAAATTATTTTACTAATAATCTAATGATAAAATTAATTGATAATATAAGAAATTATATAATAATACTAATTAAATCTTATAATAATTATATTTTTATTAATATTATATATTTTTAAATAAAAAAATTTTTTTTATTATACTTATATAATAAATTAATAAGAATTAATTACTTATAATAAAAATTATAATTAAAAAAATAATAATTTAAATTAATAATTATAAAATATATAATAATTATTATATAATATATAATTAATCTATAATTAAATTTTTTTATAGTTATTATATTTAAAAAACTAAAATTAAATAATTATAAAAAGATATAATATAAAAAAATTTTAATTATAATTAATTAATAATTGAAAAACTTAAAAAATATTGTTATTATAGTAATATAAATTTTCTTAATTTCTTAATCTTTTCTTAGTTATATAAAATTATATTTTATTATAATTTTTGTTATTTTATAAATATCTCTATTTTATATTATATATTACTATAATTATCACATTTTTATTTTTCAATATTATATCTTATTTTATATTTGTTATTATTATTTGTAATACAATATTCATATACATAGTAGAATAGTATAGTGAAAGATCATTTTTAATTTTGGTAAAAAGTTACACTTGAATGATAATCTCAAATATCTTTCCTTATCCTTTGATATTCTTTAATATTCTTTTACATCTTTCCATATCTTTTAATATCTTTTCACATCTTTCAATATCTTTCTATTTCTTTCAATATCTTTCTATATCTTTTAATATCTTTTTATATCTTTTAATATTCTTTAATGTACTCTGATATTTTTTAATATTCTTTGATATCTTTTAACATACTTTAACATAATCTATTTATAATTATTTATATAATAATACTTTAATTATATTTTGTATATTAGATAGTATTAGCTAATAATATTATAATAATTTATATATTTGAAAAATGTATAAAAGAACCTGCTATTTCAGCTTGAAATAAATAGTTTTGGATTAAATTATTTGGAAAATATAATTTAAAAGCTTATTATTATAATAATAGTAAT